ACCCTTTTTGTGATAAGGTGTCAAAGTCAAATCTTTACTGTTTAGGCCAAAGTATGGCTTATGAACAGGCTGTCAGAAAGGAGAGGGTTCCACACAGTCACGTTGTTTTGCTCTGCTCTTAGCAGAGGGAGTGCAGTGCAAAGAGCATATTAGATTAGGTATCAGGATACCATTTGGAATTAATAACATCTTATTTCTTTGCATCATACTTGTCTTGGTGGTACTGGGCTAAACCTTGAGTTGGACATCTCCTAGAGACTTGCTTTTCCAAAAGAAATGTGGTTGGCAAGTGTACTCTTCCCATTGCCTTAGAACTAAACCAGCATCATCCCACAGTGTTGCAGAGCCATGGGCAATTGCTTGAGCTGACCCCTTCTTATGAGATCATGCTGGGAGTTTTTTAGGTCATTTGTTTCTGTGACATGTTCTTGTATAGGTGTGTGGTGTTCTAATCATCAAAGAAGGCTGAAAGCACAAAATGTGCACAATTGGACTTGATGTGTGTTATTCCCTCTGTGCAACAAACCACCCATTTGATTTATGTGGCCAGCTAAATATTCATCCTGCAGACCGCATTCTGTCAAAAAGGTGGTTATTTTTGGAGGTTTCTTGCTGTGATCCCCATGTGTAATTTAAATTGCAGAGCAAATAGTTCCTGGAGAAGTTCAGCTTTCTGCAATAAACATTACTACTACTTATTAGTCCTGTAAAATTTGATTTGTTTTTGCACATTTAAAATTCCTTCCCTCTGCTGTTGGCCATACTAAAATAATGTTGCATTACTCCAATGCCATCATCCATTAAGGTTTTAACTGATAGAATTTGACATATGATGTGCTTATAATATTATTGATTAAATAACTCTGCTTGATGCGTTTCCTTTTTGTTACGGTAATTCAGAGAATAATGTAGACCAAGCATTGCTGAAAAGTGCTGTCCCTGTTACCTCTGCGGTCCTTCAAGAGCATCTCCAGAATGGAATAGTTGCGGAGTCTGCTTGCTCGGCTCTGTGGGCGTTGTCGCTCCAAGGTCTGTTTTCCCAGCCTTCTTGTCCCTTGTGCACAGAAAAGGCTAGCATGCCAAATGTCTGTCTGTCAGCAGTGATCCTTAAAGTACAGGCTGCTTGGCCTTAGCAGGCTCTGCAGATGGCAGCAGAGTTAGGAACTTGCATCCTCTCTTAACCAGGCTTCCATGCACTTGCTCTCTAACACTCCCTAATGAAGCTATTTTTGATGAGCCGTAGCAATTGCATAACTAGATACTGCTGATGGGTACTGTAACGACAGGCATCTACAAGAACCTTGCTGTGCAGAGCATTCTCTCTGGCTTCTCTCTGAAGACCAAGAATCCCATTTGTGTTACTCCATTGAACACAGCATCAGTGTTCTGTGCAGCATGGGCTGGGAGGTTTGTTTTTATGCCGTTTGTTTTGTAAATTGGGAACAATATTTCAGATTAAAAAATGAAACGCCTATCTCTTTCATTGTCACACGCACTAAGAAATGCATCCTTGCAGTACTACTCTGTCTTATTTCTTCCTCACGCAAGAATATTGCCATGTGTTTACCTACTGCCCTGTGCTTATGCCATCGTTCCGCTAGGAAGAGCTGAAGTAAAACACCCTAAGCAATCGCATTTCTAGTACCCACCTGCAGAACAGGTTGAATATTCAGGACTCTCCACTACTTCTGGCTTGGAGGATGAAAAGGAATCTTGCCATAGATGTATCAGAAATTTCTCCTAGACCCCTGGATCAACTCATGATAAGACTTTATTGGGCCTTTTTTACTGCAACACAGGTTTTCATGTGTTTTCTTTGTAACTTTTATTGTGTAATTAAAAAGTAATTTCAGAAACAGGAGGCAGAAGTTGAAATGCTCATGAGCGTTTTAAAGGCTTTTGAGAATATTGAAGTTTTGGGGGTTTGTGTGTGTGTGTGGTTTTGGGTTTTTCTTGCTTGTTTGCTTTTTTTAAAGGTTGCTTAACTGAAAATGAATATGAGCCCACAACAGTGCTTCTGCTGGATGCACTCAGGATGAACCCAGAAAGACCAGTGCTGGTGAAGAACGCCTGCCTGGCATTAGCAAGCCTTCTAAGGCTATCTGGTAACATTCAGCAACGCTTTTTTTTATTAATTACAAATCAGCTCAGAAGTGGATGCTTCGGTACAGTTCAAGAGTTCATAGTGGGATTGGGATTGGCATTGGCATTTGCTCTCCCGAGTTAGTCTTTCCTTGTAGGACTGGAAGAGGAAATAGTGAAACTGGAGGTGCGAATCTTTTTTTCTTCCCATGGAACCAGCATGCATGTATGAGAAGTACTAGATCAGCACAATCTGATCCATTAGCAACTTGAGTGTTTTACTTATTTTTACGATGAAGTTGTTTCAACTGTGTAAATGGGTAGAGCGCAATCAATGTGGAAACAGTAAACATGAAAATATCACTTCTGCCATGCATGACAGTGTCAGCTGCTTATACAGTCATTGTCTTGTTGCCCAACTATGCTTCAGAATAGCATTTAGGAAGGCTGAAAATAATGGACATGACTTCCTGGAAAAATATTATATGTGTGCTAGCTGGAGCAGGGGACTGGAAAGCAGATAATGCAGTCTGCAGCTACCAACTAGCCCAGCAGTGTTTGTCTCCCTTTCAGAAATCGCAGCTTTGAGATTTGTGATGGATTCAAAAGGCAGTGGAATAAACCTGATCAAAGATGCCTACCACCTTCACTTCGATGATCCAGAAGCGGTGGAAAATATCTGTGTGCTGACTAACGAGATGGTTCAGTACGGTGAGATGGTGTTCGTCAAGCCTCTTCCTCTCCCCTACCCCCAAAAGATGGTAAAGAAAACCCTAACAGCAGCTGCTCAGGGATGTTAGTTTCTCTCAGGAAAGACTATATATCCGAGAAAGGGGGATGAATTGGAACCGAGAGTTCATCCCACTTGCTCTTGAGTAACTATAAATGCCCCTCTGAGGTTAGGATGTTATAACTTCATCTTATCTTGCCTTCTGTTTGTGTAGATCTGTCCCCTCCCTGCTCTCCTTTAGCTCCTGCT